AGTCCCATGTGAACGGGCCGGGTGTATTTTAGCTCACAGTTAGCGCGCCGCATGCTAACTCTGCCCTGCTTCATTACCTCAGTGTGTACCCATGGGTCCCATGGGTGCTCCTGTCGCCCCGTTTGTTTCACTTACTGCGCACAGGCTCCTTCCACTGTTACTTCAGACTCATTTCTCTTGGGTAGAGTCTGTCTGAGCCGCTCTCTCTATCTCACTCGCACACAAGTACACGGGCACATTCAAGTGTTCCCATTGTGCTAAATTTACACGTTTGGAAACGTGTTAACTTTTCAAATGCGTTAAACCGTTCTACCTTCGTGGAGACCAAACCAGAACAAGCTACGGGTCAGATCTGCGTCATAGTCCTGGAATGGGTCGGGTGTTGCTGGATTTTAACGTTGTGGAATTTTACGGGCAAGTATGCAAGCGAGTACGGGAGGGTCAGATGAATCAAATGAACGACGAACGGGAGAAAATACTTGACGCGTGTCCAGGATGTCCGTTGCCCTGGAAACAAGTGCTATTCCTGGGCTTTTTCTGGAATGATGGCAGACCAGGTTGAGAGAGTGACTTTAGTGTATTTATTAAATAAAACCATCAGCGGAGGTGATAGGCTCTGTGGCTGTGCTCTTGGTTTAGTCCTGGTTTAGACCTGGTTTAGACCTGGTCCAGTCCTGGTGTAGTCCTTGTTTTAAAGTGGTCCAGTCCTGTTGTAGTCCTGGCGATCGTCTCGGTGGTTGCGGCGTGTATATATTTATGACACTGGTTTAGTCCTGGTTTAGACCTGGTTTCAGTCCTGGTTTAGTCTTGGTTAAGTCCTGGTTTAGACCTGGTTAAGTCCTGGTTCAGACCTGGTTAAGTTCTGGTTCAGTCTTGGTATAGTCCTGGTGTAGTACTGGCGATTGGCTCTGCGGTTTGCGGTCTGTATATATTTATGATCTGCTAATGACACAAAGTAGATTCAGTCCTGGTTTAGTCCTGGTTTATTTCTGGACTATTGGGCTGTTGGGCTAATGGGCTGAACCCGGTGCAGGGGGGTAACGGCTGGAATCTTTACAGGTCCAGGGGGGTCGGATTTAACTTTGATATAATCACAGGTTAAAGGTCGCGTGTGGTGCTGATCTGCGTGCTGCCTCCAGTGGCCAGTGCAATTTCAAGTACTGTGTGACATTACACAGCACTGCCTTGAGGGCTGGAGTTTGAATATGAACACATGTTAGACATACTATTCCTCATATCACTAGACCCTGCCCCACATCTTACCCTCACTCTCCTCAGTCCTCCAGATACTGCCCAGTGTAGCAGCTTTGAAATGTGGTTGTGGGAGAAGTTTATGTGCTTCGTCCCACAACTTGTTTTGTGTTGAAAATGAGAGTCTGTTATCTTAAGTGCTTGATATCAATGTGGTATGAAAATCAGCTTTAAGTATCACGCTTTTTCCGTGGTATATTTTAGGGCACTTGGAGATATATTGACTAGCGTCTTAAATTGTGCCCATATGTTATACCTCTTTATAAAGTTTAATCTCTCTATATCATGTTCATTTAATCCAATTTACAGACAGAAAATGTCCTAATACAGACATGTCAAACTCAGGCTCGGGGCAAATTTGGCCTGCGATATAATTATATTTGGCCCGCGAGATCATATAAAATAGGTTTTAAAATATGTATTAGAGCTGCCCGCCGGCTACAGATAGACTATAGATACATTATTTATTCAAAAATGTTGTTATTATTTTATTTTATGCTTGTTCTGGATTCAATATTGAAGCAAAACTATTCTTAAACATTTACTTTAATAAGAAAAGGTTTAACATTACATATCTCGAAGGAAGAGAAAACAGGCCGATGTTGTTGTCATGTTTCAAATAAATATTTAGTTTGGCCCACAACTTAGTCCCAGTTTTTAATTTTTGCCGTCTGTGAATTTGAGTTTGACACGCCTGTCCTAATATGTGGCACCTGGCATGTGGAGTAATTTGTCTGTATCTGTGACGCTGTACTGCCCCTGAACGTACCCTTAGATTCATGTGCAGCACTGAGGTGCTGGCTTTAAATGCTCTTGTGCCTGATCCACAATACTTACTGACTATAAATAAAAGTGAACTTCAGCGCAGTTTAGGCCCATAACAATACTACTGCTCGTTTTTATCAAACTTAATAGTGAAGATTTGTGATCTGAGAGGAGCCTGTGTGTGCGGCGAGTGATGCAAATGTGTCGTCTTGAAGCTACTTTTGGTTCTTTTTCATTGGTTAGAGAATAGCTGCTGTAAACTACCATACATAAACAGCCTGATTTCTCTTCCACTGGCCTAATGTAAAGTGATTACAGTGGCTGTGCACACATTACTGGACCTTCATTGATACGCAGATGAGCTGTGAATAGAGGTGTGAATGATTGGCATTTACGCATATAATTAATTACAGAGGCGCACATGCAACCACTAAAAGGCTGATTGCGGAAGTTTTTACTTTGTTTACTGGTTAGAATGTCAAGCAAAAATCCCATTAGGCCGACCTACTGCCTTTAAATATGAATATAAAGAGGCAGAATAGTAGTAAATGTGACCTACACAAACCCAATTTAAAATCCAGTAGAGGCAGACCCACGTTTATAATCAGTTGAAGAGTTACAGTGAATTTTTACGTCACTAAATATATCAGCTTTTATATCGGCTATTGGCTCCTCCAACTCACGTTTTATCTGTATCGTATCGGCCGCAAAAAAAATAAAAAAAATAAAAATTCATATCGATCGGGCCCTAGTATGTAAACTGAGAAGTTTCGCTGCATCGACACAAATCATGCTTTGCCTCTTATCTAAGGAAGTTTTATACATCTTTTTTCTGTATTTATCAAAAAACAGACACTTAAAGCCTTTATGCCTGTGCGACAGAAAAGCATAGTTCTGTTCTGTTCAGTTCTGTTTTTATCCCTTTCACAAAGCTTCACGCCTCATTATCATGAGCATATGGAAACAGAAACCTGCTCCGTTTGCTCCTTGTGCCATTAATACATCAGTAATCCTTGTTGTTCACACATTATTTTAAATGAACTCAAATGGGTCCCAGTGCTAAGTGCTGCACTGAGACTAAAATACATGTTTCATATACTGAATCGTATACAGTTTAGATTAAAAGTTTGGTTAATTTTGGTTAATTGGTTAAAAAAAAAGAAAGGTACACAATGCAGTTTTTCTGGCAAGATCTTAGGCCATGTATTGTCAAAAAAAAGAAAAAAAACACCTTGAAAAACATGCATTCTTACTGTGAGCGGTGTCTCCTTTCCACAAACCTGACCTGTTACATCACCTGCATACTGTGAAACATAATCAATGTAATAACAGCTCCACGGAGACAAGCAGCTGGCAAACCTTCCACCAGAAAAGGTTCATAATGCGCCTTTAAACATCTAGATACTGCACAATGTTATGCGTTATTAAAGAAGCCATTCCTGATTTTTATTTTTATTCTTGATGTGCAAAACAAAACATTTTATTCATTTTAAATCTTTTGCAGAGGTTCAAAGTTATTCCTGATAACGTGACATAGCATCCTAATTATTTACCGTGATGAGTTTATAAGAAGTTTTCACTATTTTCCGAGTTTTTCCATCACGATAAAACACTAACAACAACTAGCATGCTGACAGCACACTGAATCCTAGACAATATAATGCTTTATAATTAGATGCAGACAGCACAGCCAGACTTATTTTGACCCCATTTTTTGGATGGTCAGTATTTCATTTGAGAACTCACTGCTACTTCCTGAATGTTTTATTCTTGTCTTATCAACATTTTTCCACTAATTGCCACTTAATTGATGTGAAGCGATGATAAATATTTAACACAGGTACTAACTCACCAAATCAAACATGAAAAAATGTCATATGCACACACCTGGAATTGTTCATCTCTACTAAACTAGTAAAGCTGTTCATTTGAAAACTAGTTCTTCATGACATCACAAGTTAGAAGCTGAGCTTTGGAGATGTAGACAGACTAAAGAGTTGCTCAAACATGTGTGAATGAAACAAACCACACCTCCAAGTATGTTTTAGATGAGCTAATGGCATTATATCAAAATGTATAACTCACAAGAGTTCATTTGCTGTAATATAACATATTTATGGCAAGTTTTCATATTTCACTGTTAGAAACTTTCTGTATTGTATTCACTGAGCGCCCATAGCCTCACTGCACTGCAGGGACCGGCAGTGGAGCAGGACCACTCAGCAGACAGCCCTCACACACACACACACACACACACACACACACACTGAGCAGATGTGAGGAGCAGGGAGCGGTGGTGACCTCAGCAGGTGGGAGAAGATCAGAAGAACCACATGCTCCATCTGTGGACTGTGCAATACTGACAAACTGTCCATATCAAAACACTCACAGGCTTGTGGCGTGAGGGTACAGCCAGGCCACCAGGGGCACTGTCAGCACATCTGCTGCCAAGACTGCCATTGTATACAGATTAGCAGAGGCAAAGGTGGAGATCCCAAAATAGCAAAATAAAGTAGGAAATGTGTCCTTTAAATCTGACTCCTGCGTAAAAGTCCTTGGATTGTTCAGGCATTTTAACTATGTTTTAGGCCCTACCAGATGTTCAAAACAATCATCTGGTCAACACAAATGTTTTACTTTCCTAGCATCCTAACTATTCACCAGGGTGACTTTGAAAGCACTTAAAGTATCAAACCACTACAAACAACAACTAGCATGTCAACAACACTTCCTAGTTCACAGAGCATAAGGTACTTTAGAGTATTATTTATATTTATCTTGCTTTGATTCTTCTTGACAGATGACTTTGAAACCCTTAAATAAATTCAAAACATATATGTTTAATGCCATTCCATACTGTGGAACATTCTAGGCAGGGCATAAACATCTACAATAGGAACATCTTCAAAGCTGACTTTTGGTTACTCTGGGACAGACATTGTGTTAAATCTGTAATAAAATGATGCAAATGAATTTGTGCTCACTGTGAGACGCTGGACACAGGGGACAGGCCATTGTCCCTCTCTGACTCCATGTCCAAGTCATCTGCAAAACTGCAGTTCCTCTGCAGGGGCGTGTCCGGGGATGGGACCTCCAAGAGCCCAGGGGTTTTCCTCCCTGGACACAAAACAACATTAATATTATATGAGCAATTGTGCTTTAAAGCCTCATTATGCAATAAAAAAAAAAAAAAAAAGACTAAAATATTGGTTGTTTTAATTGCACTGAAAAATGTCAGAAAATATGTGTCCCTACTCTGACTGTGCTTGCATCTTCACAAATGTAACTCTTATTTGGCCTAGAGAAGGGCCTCCTCCTGCTTGTTTCCATGGAAATGCTGTTCCTTTCATTATAATCTTCCATAGTATGGCATAAAACCTGTTCTGAAGTCCATTCATCCATTTTCTTTCGCTTTATTCGGGGATGAGTGACAGAGACAGCAGTCTGAGCAGGAACACCCAGACTTCTCTTTCCACTCACACTTCTTCCAGCTCTTCCAGGGGGATCCCGGAAGGATTCCTCCAGCATGTCCTATCTCTAGAAGAGTGCCCAGGCACTGCGGAGGAACGCTTGTGTACACAGTCCATAGCTGCCAGCAGCTGCACTGTCCACTTGGACTCAGTGTCCCCAGTCTCCCTCGGGATCTGGGAGAAGCTCCTCTGGAGGTGTGAGTTGAAGACCCGGCTGACAAATGGCTCTGTCAGACATTCCCAACAGACATTTACAATATACTTGGGCCTGCCAGGTGTGTTCACAGCAGTGATCTCCCTGTTCTGTTTTGTTCTAGTTTTATTTCCATTGGAATCATATCGGTGACCTCCAGAAAATTACATGCTGTGACTTTAACTAACTGCAAGTGTGTAGACAGCTTTGTTTGTTGGGTTAATATATTTTGGTATGACCAAAGCGCTATAAAAGTTACCCCCATATCAGTTTGTTTTGATAGTTTTATTGTAATATTCACATTTACTGACCTCTTTTATCTGCTGTTTTAATGGCCAATAAAACCTTTTTTTGAGATTTAAGCCTCACCGCTTGCTCACTATTAATTTTTGTTTAAAAATGTAAATATCCCCAATATATCAGGCGTGGTTAATAGAGTACTCTGCATGTAAAACGTTCTTGAGTGTCCATTTGTTTTTATTTTATACACTACAAGTCAAAGGTTTGGACACACTTTTTCATTTATGCTACTTCTTTGTTTCCATGATTATTTAGACTGCAGTTTCTCACTGAAGACATCGAACCTCGTATGGTCAACTAAAAATAGTCACACTTTGCTTTGAACCCTGGTTTGCAATTTTAGTATTTCTTGACCATGACGAGGCGCATCTGTGAAGTGAAAACCATTTTGGGAGACTTCATCAAGAAGCTCATTGAAAGAAGACCAAGTGTTTGCAGTGCTGTCGAGAAAGCAAAGTGTGGCTACTTCAAGGATTTGAAAATAAAATATATAAAAAAAAAAAATGTTGAGTGATTTCACTTTTTTCTTTCACTACATAATTAAATTGCATCATATATTTGATGTCTTCTGTAAGTATCTAAAATGTAGAAAAGTATAAGACACACACACACACACACAAAACAGGGTTTGGGGTGTGTCCAAAACTTTTGACTTGCAGGTTAATTAATATGTGTGTCTAATTTGTGCATAGTCTTAGTACATATGTGTCATACAAGTACATGTGTAGTATGCAGTACATGTGTGCCCTTGGAGGTACTATTACCTGTGTTGTTGTGTCCGAAGTGCAGAGAACTGAGTGAGGTCCAGGTCTGCTCCGCCTCTGGACACAAGGAGGGAAATACACAAACATGTTTACCACAGATCTGCTCAAGGTAACAGAGGCAGCATCATCATCATGGGCCTACGCACAGGGAAAGTCCAAACAACAAAGCACAGCTGCAAGCCAAATACTAAGAAGTTTTATTTTCCATTCAAAAAGACTAATGTGAGTGTTAAATTGTAGTGTTAAGTTGTTGACATGTGGTCACATAGATGCAGATGGTAGAAGTGCAAGTTTAAACAGAATTTAATAGAAACTTTGAAGGTTCAACTATAAAAACATGTTGTGATATGTGTGCGGTTTTTAGATTAGGATGATCAGTGGTCACATTTTTATACAAAGCTTTTCCACCTTCAAGGTACTCAAAGAGGTTTACAATAAGAAACCACTCACACTTTCACACACCAGTCTGCACAGACACGGGGGGCAAGGTGGGTTAAGTGTCTTGCCTAAGGACACAATGACAGCATTCATCTGGGGAGCTGCAATCACACCACCCAACCTGTGGGTCAGTGGATTTGACAGCTCAACCTGTGATGTTTATGTTGAGAGCAAGATTCACCAGCTTTTGGATCAGTGGACAAATGCTCTACTAACTGAGCTACTCCCACACTGAGACCTGACATGGTCTTGTGGTCGCAAAGATGAAAGCAGGTCCTGCTGGTGGCTCTAACAGTACCTTTGAGGACGCCTGCATGAGGCCTATAAATGAAACAGGGAGCACTATTCTGATCTAGCTTTTGGCTCTGGCTGCCATGAAACGACAAATCCTGGGGACAAAGAAACCACTAGGATGACCTTAGAGCTAAGTCCAGCTGCAGAGGGCAGCAGGGAGACGTCAATTTCCCCGGCAGGTAACAAGACCTGTCCCCCCTCTAATTTAGACTACGTCCACACGACAACGCTCCTGGATTTTTTTCTTTGTGGGTTGAAAAACATTTGTGTCCACACACGTGCCAGATCAGTTAATATTCACATCCACATGACAACGGAGCCCTGAGTGAAAATGATGTAATACATCTGCCACACCTGTATGTGGTGCTGTTAATAATGATAATAATATTTAATAATGCAGATCTCATCACCGTTTTTTTAACTTTAAGGTAATTTAGCCTATTTGAGATGTATCCCAGAAATATAGCTGTTTTGTTTTGCAAAAGTTAAACAAAAGTCACAGAAAGAACCCATATATTCCACTGAGTCCTGTCCTTTAGTCCAACAGAAGTTGAACCGCCTCAGCGGACAATATCAAGCTGTTTTTTGAGTGCTTACTTTATGCAAATGAGCCATGCTGTTTTAAGTTTCATTTTCAAAACAGAAACGACATGTCTGGATGCAGATAGTTTCTGATACAGTGATACAGTGATACAGTGATACAGTGATACGTGGATTTGTTTCAGTAAAAACATAGTCTTTGTTATTGATCCGTGTGTGTAGTCTGTGGTGCGTGCTGTTAGTATTGGTGCTAGCAGCGTGTCTCGGTTGCTGGATGATGGGAGCAGCTCCGTAGGCTACACCTGTCCCATTTTGGCAACGCTCTTGTGGTCTATGGAAGCTAATTCGATGGCTACAGGCTTCGCTGCATCTGAGGACCCTGGGGATGACGGGATTGTGGCGTCATCGTTTTCCAAAAGCTGCGGTTTGTTTGTCCACACGACAACTTCTCCGTTTTGACCAAAAAACTTTGTCGTGTGGACGGCCCTTTAATGTCTCTGTCTCTTTTTAATTTTATGATGATTATTTATGTTTTGATCTGTTTGTATTGTGATTTTAATGTATTTCTTATCCTGGCACTTAATTGTCTCCGTTAGGATGTTATTGCTTTGCCGGTAAGTTCCATAGTACAACATTAAGCTTATCTGTCACTATGGAGACAAGCAGGAGATGCCACCAGGCCAAGTTACAGGTGTGATCTATGAAGAGGCGACCCCGCTCATAGTAAGAAAGCTTGTATTTCCTGGTATTATTTTAGCACTTGACTGGATAAATGCATATTATTTAGATCGGTTTAACACTATTGTGGATGTTTTGAAGCAAATGAACAACATCTCTATCAGGGAAATACAGATGGTAGACCTCAACAGAAAAGTTACACACTTTAAATAAAAAAAAAAAAAAAAAAATCTATTAACTGAATTCTAACCTGACCTAAATATATGTGTATTGTTCCATACAAAGAGGAGAACCAGAGAGTGTCTGTTATTGGACCAAAAGCAACACCACCACACAATGAGCCAATTCTAATGAGGCCACGATGGGCTTTTGTCTTCTCGTCCAAAAAATATTTCTGGACTAAGTCATTATTTCTGCATGTGTTTTCTTTCTATTGGTAGCACAAAAACACCGGGGAGAGTGATGGAGACAGACAGGTGAGTAGAGGAGAAGTGGACGGGGGTTGTATTAATATAACGCTTCGCCCTTCGACCTATTATGCAAAATGGACTTTTTAGAGCAGGTTGTGATCATCTGGACATTGTTTCTGCAATCTAGACGTTTCAGCTCCAATCCAGAAGCCATTTTCAATTTGATGTTGCTAAGTCCAATTAAGTTAAACTGGGCTCATTATGGGTCATTATGGTTCTGTGGTGTTGTGGCTGTCTCACCTATGCTGCAGTTTACACGTCAAATTTGTGGAGTTCTAGTGTGTACCATCGCGCAATGTGAATGTGTGCGGGTGTCAATTTAAGCTATTCAAATTGAGTATCACAGAGGGTGAAAGAGTGTGTGTGTGTGTGTGTGTGTTTGTGAGGGGAGTACTAGGGTAGTGCCTGTAATAAGGATAGGAAGGGGGGTGCAGTTGGATGCTTGCAGGTGGGAGACACACAGGTGAAGGTGTGCAGAAGGTGGACACTAACAGCAGCTCACCGAGTCCGCTCACTGACAGAAGTCCTGCTGCAATGACAGAGGAAGAGAGAGAAAGGAAGGAAAGAGGGAGAGAGTTGTTTTTAACAGGACATTTCAACTGGAAACTTGCCTGTAGTTTTAGAAAGGTGACTCAGACCTTTTCTGTGTCACTGTTACCACAGCAACTGTGTTCTGGCTTAACTTCATTTGTTTTGTAACACAATAGCCATCATAATTGGGTTTAATTTGCAAATAAATAACATTTTCAACCAAAACAACAAAGTGTGTTATTAAAACTTGTAAAAGTGTCAGCCGTCCAAACAGCAGGGTCATAAATAAGCTCTTTGTTTTGAGAGTATAAAGCAGTGTTTACAGGTCCAGTTATGAGGCTCCATCTGCCTGTGATCGCTCACATACAGACATCAGAGCCACAGAGTTACTGTGTGAAAGGAGGAGAACTCAAGGTCCTGGAGCTGTCAGACGCAGTTTACTGTTTTGGACTCAGACTGCATTCTCCTGTAGCATCACTTAACGTCACAACTGAATCTGTGTTGCCAGCGCTTTAACCTGCAGACAGAGGACATATACAACTTTCTCTCAATGTTTAAACAACTGGGCCATCGTGTTTCTCTTTCCTGCGCCTGTCAGCAGCATGTCAGCCCCGCTGTAGTCTACAAAGCTCCTGTGCTTTTAAATGCTAAATATGTAGCGCTCTTCCACTGTCAAGGCCTTCAAAGAACTTTACATCAAGGAATCTCTCTCTATTCACATACACAGTGGGCAAGGGGGTCAATTGTCTTTCCCGACGACATAAAAACAGTATTAATTGATGACTTGATTACTGGGAGCTGGGGCCAACCTGTGGGCTATATAGGGATCTGACCTGTCTTCCAACAATGTTTAAGCTGGACTAGTGCAGAGCATTTATGTTTGTGAATAATAACGATACCTGACACAGACTGCTTCCTCTTTCTCTCTGCTTGCACATTCATGCCCAGCGCCCCCTGCTTACACTTTGTAAACTCAAACTTTCATCAAAACTGGACTGGGATTTCAATACACAATAGTAATCTATGTAAGTTTTCACAAACAAGACTTGTGACATGCCCAAATTAAACAATCGTATAATGCAGACTTTTGGTTCTCAAGACGATTATCCAGTCGGAAAGAAGAACGAGCCTCCCATGAGTCTCTCATTTATGTTGCCAGTTTCAATGCTGAAATCCAGTTGGATCTGTGGTGTTTATTCTGCTATTTATTTCTTGCGGCTCGGGCTTTTGAATGGTACTGTCAATTTTAAAATGGTTTACCGGCATTATCCTGCTTTACAGCTTTGTGTCAGTGGCATAAATGAGTTTGAATATTATCGTGTATCATTATATTTCTCTGTAGCAATATATCATGTTTCAAAATTTGTGATTGTGATTGTAATACATTTTTTTAACTGTCAGAGCTTAAAGCCATGTTATAGTACTGATTTGTTTCATTCACACATGTTCAGGTAATCCTTTATTATTAGTCTTACTCAAAGCTCAAAATGCTCTGTTCCACCTTGTGATGTCATGTAGCGGCAATTTTCAAGCTAACAACCACTTTTACCTTCTGTTAGAGATTGGAAATTCCAGGACTGAACTTATCCAAATGATAACTTCTTGGGTTCTTTTTAAAGACAATACAGTAAACTGTATTTTACCTTGTTGACATGTTTCGGCTGCTGCTGCATCTTCAGAACACAATTAATGCTGTCCTCGTTTCCCGATTCATACATTGGAGAAATGGGCCGGGCATTCCACATTTGTAAAACGGAAACATCAGGGAGACTCACCAGGATACAAAATGATAAGACAGAACAGGAAAAGCTAAAATCCGCCATTTCAGACCACTGTCAAAGAAATAACCACGTTCTGAACTGGGACGGGGCTCAGGTCGTTGGATTGGAAAACAACGAGTTCAAACACTGGATCAAGAAATGAGGCACGGACAGCATTAACCGTGATGACGGAGCATTCCTCTTTTCACACACCTGGGACGCCCTCCTCCAAAGAACACCGGGCGACCGGAGGCGTGGTCAGTCTGAGCGACCTGCCGGGTCCATCAGGCTACAGGAAGTAACAACAGCTGATATACGACACGTCAACACCAACACCGAGGACAGT